CATTGTCGTCGTCCTCCCCCTCCGCCTCCCCCCTGGCCCCGTAGTACCACGCGCACCACTACCGGGGCAGGGCCTACCGGCCCAGCTACCGGCCAGAAAACTATGAACAGGCAATCTGGGTCGTGCGGTGGAACGATGCCGACGATGCAGATCGTGAGTTGATGACATTGAAAACGATCAGCAGCCAATCTGGACCGTCCAGCGCCAAGGAAACGGAGGCCCCAGATTGGCTGCTGGTCTCACGCTGTGAAATAGCAAATGTTATATATGTAGTGACTACTTGGAAAAAGAAAAAGAAAGGGAAAAAGACTAAAAAAAAACTTATAAAACAGTAAGGTTTCATGAAATTTCGCCATCATTTCGATTTCAGAAATCTCGACAAATTTCAGAAACCTCAGCAGAGGAAATTCCAATGCCCCAAATGATCCCGAATTCGGCAACCTTGAACTAAAACAAAAACAGGCAAAAAAAAAAACCCTCAGAAAACATAAAATTTGACCCCCAAACGGTCCAAACCCATATTTCAGTTTTCGATCCGTAACTCAGGAGATAAAAGTGGGAGTCGCCATTAACCACTTGTGATCACAAGAGAGGCATACCAAGCTTGCTGCTGCACTCGTTTTGCCATGATCCTTGTTCCTGAACAACCAGCTTCCAGACCCAGTCCCAGTTGAAGACTCCGATGACTGGACCGTCATCAACTTGTCCTGCAGTGGAGCAAAAAGAGTTTCATTTCAACAAGCAGGTCATTATCAGTGACCGAAGAGCCCGTCATGAATAATTTGAACGAGCGAGAGCTTACCCACAGTGTGTTGCCGCGGGCACACTGCGCACTTTCAATGAGGGCCTGGTGCTGACCTCATTACACCACAACCAATGCACAAAATCTGAAAATCATCCATTCCTGAGACTCAATATCCACAAAAAACAGACAATCAGGGGTGTGTTGAAGACCGCCTTGACAACGTCCCAGGTTGCGAGAGTGTCAAGAACTAATGGTTTGGCAGCCGAACATGCTTTTGCAACCTCTCTCAACCGAGAAGGATGAAAGTAAAAGGGGTCTGGATGGGTGACGGGAGACCGGGGACAGGGAGAGAATAGACACAGAGAGAGAGAGAGACAGCTTGCAAATATGGTGGCCGGGAAAGATTGCAAACATGCTGGTATATATTGATTGTAAAACTGCTGATGTTCCAACTCAACAGCTGAGAACCATCCCACAGATCATCTACGCTTTTAGGAGTTAGGACCAGGTATTACTGGCTGTTCTGACAAACGGCCAGACCCAAGACAGGCGTACACAAACAAACAGCGCCACAAGGGCAGGGACAGGGAGTCAACAAGGACAGAGAGAGAGAGAGGGAGGGAGAGAGAGAGAGAGAGGGGTGGTGTAGATTGATTGTAAAACTGCTGATGTTCCAAACATGGTGGTGGAGATTGATTGTAACGGGAGAGAGGTTTCAAACATGGTGGTGTAGATTGATTGTAAAACTGCTGATGTTCCAATTCAACAGCTGTGGATCATCCCGTGATCGGGAAAGATTGCAAAGATGGAGTTAGGGCCAGGTGGTAATGGCCCCAGTAACCTGTTCTGTATATCTGGGATGCTGGACCCGGTTTCCAGCAGGTGCTGCTCCCCACTAATAGACAGGAGCCGCCAACAAGCGGATGCTACAGGAGGATCACCCCCCGTAGCACAGGCAGATGGTGTTAAAAAAAAAATCAGAAAAAAAAAGAAAGGCCAGGTATTACTAGCTGTTCCAACAAACGGCCAGTTCCAAGATTGGTTTACAACTTTACACAAACAAATAGTGCATTGCGCAAATGGCAGGCATAATAGCAACACTGCTGTCGCTTGAGCTTAAACACTTCCCATAGATTGGAGTTAGAAGAGAGTCATGCTACTAGAGAATATGAATGATAGGCAATTGTTGACAGTAGGATTATTTTCATTTGATATAGTGTTAGATTATCTTAGATACTCTTAGATGCTCAGTGTCAATCAGCCGTGATGGTCCGCTTGATACCTCTGATCGGGACGAGTAGGGGTGGTGCGCAGTGTGTGGGAAAGTGTTGGCCTTACACTAATGCTATTCAGTTGGGGGTGTGGGACGATGAAAAGGGAGGCGCAGCTACTGGCAAAATGCTCGATCTTTGCATTAGCTGGACTCCCACCGGCTGACCCACCCCATCTCTGACTACCAATTGCGAGGTAACTATGCTCGCAGGGGTCCCCTTTATATAGCCTTAGGAGTAGTGGTAGGCAGGTAGTGAAATGCAAAAAAAGAATTGAGAGAAGAATATAGCATACTAGACAATTGTCGAAAGCAAACGGAGGTAAAGACGGGTGTGGTTGATGCTGTTATTACTTTCTATGTGAAAACTGGTTAACAGAGGTGTGAATTTTCAGTGATTAAAGGCCTTGTTAACTGAACTTGCCACAACCCCAGAGGCCTTTTTAACCAAACTTGCCACAACCCCAAAGGCCTTTTTAACCGAACTTGCCACCACACCATAGATAGGACCCCATATACAACCAAAAAAAAATAACTACAAGGCAAAAAGGCACTTTCATGTGAAATTTGTCGATATTCGCCTCTACAGAAATTTCAGAAAATTGAAAATTCAGCAAAGTCAACACAGGTATTTCCAGCAGTCCAAAAGACCAAATTTGGCGAACAGCAACCTTAACTTTAAACAAATAACAGGCAGTAAACCAAAGAAAAAAGAGTTCAAAAGTTAAAACCTAGGCTGGTCCCCGGGCCGCCCGGCGGCCTGGCCATCGCCCGGGCGGGGTGCCAGGCCGCCTGGCTGGTTGTCGTGCCCGGTTGGCCACCGGGCGCCCCCAGCGCATCACTGTAGGTTAGTTTTTTTTTTTTTTCCGGCGCTGGGGCCCTTTTTGCCCCCTTCATAGACCATGTGGACCGTGAAAAAAAAAAAAACGGGGCAGTTAGGCCCGGTTTCACCGATTTGAAATCGGGCCCCATCTGGATTGTCGATCTCGAAGATCGACGGCCCCGATTTCAAACCAGTGAGGGCGGGAACTACCGGCCCCCGTTCCCTCCCCCGTGCTGAAGATGTGCCCCCGACATCCCCCCTTCCCTGCCTTGCAGCAGTGTGTGTCCGCCGGCCTTCGACGCGCAACTTCAACGCGCTTCTTCGACGCACCCCGTCAGCACCTACCAGCGCCCACCATCGCGCGTGACCCCGCCGTCGCCCGCCAGCGGACGCCTTCAACAAGGTAAGGGACTTAGTTGGGCGGAGACAGAGAGAGAGATCTTCTTCTTCTTCTTCTTCTTCTTCTTCTTCGTTTCTACTTCGCTTCTTCTTCTTCTTCTTTGCACCCGTTTCAAGCCCCCCCTTCCCACCGTCCTCCACCGGCCGTCTTCTTCTTCTCCCCCTTCGCTTCTTCAACTTCTTCGGCTCCTTCTTCTTCTTCTTCTTCTTCTCCTCCTCCTCCTCCTTCGTTTCTTCTTCTTCTTCCCTTCTTATTCTTCTTCTTCTCCCCCTCCTTCCCTTCTTCTTCCCTTCTTCTTCTTCTTCTTCTCBCCCCCCCCCCCCTACTTCGCTTCTTCTTCTTCTTCTTCTTTCCCCCCGTTTCGAGCCCCCCTTCCTGCCGTCCTCCACCAGCCGTCTTCTTCTTCTTCCTTCCCTTCGCTGCTTCAACTTCTTCGGCTCCTTCTTCTTCTTCTCCTCCTCCTCCTCCTCCACTTCTTCTTCTTCTTCTCCCCCTCCTTCCCTTCTTCTTCCCCCCTTCTTCTTCTTCTTCTCGCCCTCCCCCCCTCCCCTGCCTGCTATCCCTCGCACCATTTCCTTTTTTTTTTTTTTCTGTCTTGTGCCACGTGGGGCCACGTTTTGGACCTTCCCCGCGGCAGCCATTTCCCCCAACTTCGTCTCGCCCTTCTTTTTCTTCTTCTTCTTCTTCCTCCTCCTCCTCCTCCTCCTCCTCCTCCTCCTCGTCTTCTTCTTCTTCCACATACACACCTGCAAGGTCTGTGACATACCAGCACTGACATCCCCCAGACCCCCCCCCCAGACCCCCCGCTAGCATCCCTCCCCCAGACCACAACTTCAGTTTTGGGTCCATAACCGGGGGCTGAAAGTGGGGATCCCTGTTAACCACAAATGGTGAATGCTTGCTGACAGCAGGAGGCATTCCATGTTTGACACAAACACAGGCAATTGCTCCTGTCCTAAGGTCAAGCATGTTCTGCACAGCGACACTCAACTGGCATTCACCAATCCCTTTTTTCTACAGAGCCGGGAACAAGAAGAGGATGCTGACCGGCCTGAAACGAGAAGTTGTCACACAACCATGCACCGGCGATAGGCATTCAAATATCACACATACCTGACCAAAGCCAGCATTAACAAATGCATTCACAAACGTAGCAGCGAGATTCTGCCTTGCTGAGTCCACACTTGCCCCAGACGTAGCTCGGCTATCCAGTAGGTGTGCCTGTGGTTCATTCCACAACAACATCCCAATACAGCAACCAAAGACGATCAAGAAAAGAGGAATTCAAACTTTCAGGTAATTCCAACACAGCAACCGCACAAAGATATTGAATGATCCGCAGTACACCATGCAAATGTTGACCGCCCAAGAATGGACAGTGCAATCCATCAAAAAATAAAATAAAAATCAGGCGGCAGCAATCAAAGCCAAACGCGAACCTTGCCACATCCGGTCTGGTATCCCACCTACACCTCACGTTCACGAACTTCCCATTCAACTGCATCTCGGAGACACGGTCGGAGATCTTCCAAGCACTGGCTACGGATCCAGTGATCTCCTTTCGCAACTGGCTATGGTTTTCTGAACGAGTTTGTCATTCCAGGTGTCTTTCATGCATGCTCCACGCATGAAATAAGTCGTGTCCGTCTCGTTGCGGACTTCTGCGACGTCCCACTTGACTACGCCAAAGTGGGCAGTTCATTTGGCAAACAATAACCAGATCGGACTGCATGGATTCAAATGATGAAAATCCTCAAAGAGAGCAAGGCGTTGAATGCTCTGCAGTTGAGATCATGAAAACAATGAGCTCCACAACTTCGCAAAGGCAACCAAAGCCAAATACAGATCTGGCGACGATAACCAAACCCAATCCCAAAGGCAAACAACCAGGCCACATGCATGGAATTCAAATATTCAAGATGCGTAAAGAGAAAAAGGCTTGCACAGAAAAAACAAGACCTTGTAAATGTCTTCAGGCGTCTTTGCTTCCATGACGTCCAAATCCCTTGCCAGAGCTAAGTACCCCTCACTCAACTTGGAGTTGCTGATAATCTCCTGTAACACTTCCCTTTCGTCATCCCCAATGCTCATGTCATCTTCTAAATTCAGCACGAAGCCCTGCCACACACAAAACCCATCAAAGATTCCAGTATGAACTTCTGCATACCTAGACCGAATGTATGGAGCAGCAAAAGCACTTTGCATTCAGAGCTACATTCCTAAGAAGCAGAAGACATCATGCAAATTATCATATTATGCCACCTTCATCGAATAGCGAATAGCCATGCTAAGAACAGGGTCAGCAGAACACAAAGATAGATAGATACTCTGTTATGGCGAGACCAGAGACCGATGTGTAATGAACCCTGGGTCTGTCAGATACTCAGAAGTCGTCAAACATCAGTAGTCTCATTATCTGCATCAAAGTCTCCAAATCGTGAAGTCATATCTCAAACAGTAACTCATTACCATCACAAGAAGGGAGTGGAGGGGGAACAGACAAAGATGAAGATGAAAGATCACACTATAATCCCTTCAGATCCCTCTTCGTCTCTGGGCTTCTTCCCACAGTCCCTGCAGCTTGTGGCAGGGCACCCTGTGACTTCTGAGGCTAAAGTGACTGCAGGCCTAGGCCAGCAGAAATCGAGGTGCCCCAAGACAGTCCAACCTGAAACATTCACTGGGAATAACCCGAAAGTGGATGTAGCAGATTGGACTGCCTTGATGAGATGGTACCTCAAGGAACTCACTTGCCCAGGTGCAGTCCACTGTGGCCCGTTTGGGAGGGCCTGCACTTCAGTGGGCTACGTCTGAGGCCAATAAGGCCCAGAAACAGCTGGCCGACTGGGTTGTTAGAGTAGGATTGGAACACATATTTAAGGGTCTGGAGGAGAGGTTCACAAATCGAGAGACGGCCAACAAAGCTGCTGCAGAGCTTGTGAGGTTAGGCCAGTCACAATGGCAGGGATCCCTCTCCAAGCTCTACGCAGTTTGGGAAAGACTAACCTCTACCCCTGGGTTATCAATGTCTGACCAGGAGAAATTGCAATTGTTTATCCAGGCTACCCCGATAACCTATGTACAGACCCTGTTTACTGCAGGTCACANTCAATGTCTGACCAGGAGAAATTGCAATTGTTTATCCAGGCTACCCCGATAACCTATGTACAGACCCTGTTTACTGCAGGTCACAAGGACTGGAGGGCCTTTGGCAGAGCAGCCTTGGATCTGGGGGCTAAACTCCAAATCCAGTCCACTTCCCAGGCAGGAAGCACCTCCCCTTCTCAGAGTCAGAGGAAGAGCAACGGGAGGTGGCACACGGTGGAGTCTGCGGAAGACTCTGCAGGCTTTGACCGGAGAGGATTGACTCCCTCAGTTGGTCAAGGTGCAGGAGGCTTCCCAGACCAGGCTATTCTGACTTTGGCTCGGGAACTGGTAAGCGCTATGAAGGGCGCAAATCAGCTCCAGAGACAAAGCCCCCCCTCTCCTATGGGGTCTGGCAAACGCCCTTGTGGACCTCAGAAGCAAAATCTGCCCAAGTTTGCCAAATGTCCAGCTAACCCCATGGATCCCTCCTCTCTCCCATGGAGGGACTTGAGTATCCCAGACGGGCTATGGCAAAAGAGGAAGGATGTCGGTGTCTGCCTCAGATGTGCTGGGCAACACTTTGTCAAGTATTGCCCTTCATGGGGCAACCACTACGCTGTAACCTTACCCAGTCAGCAGTGGATTCTGCTGAATTGAATATCCTTTTTGTTGAAGATGGATCAGGTGCAGTTTGGTTGTTTGTAACTTACCAGTGTGTTTTGTTGTTTGTAACTTACCTGTGTGTTTTTAGCTGATGGAAACCTTCTCCTGGTATAGCTACCTCGAGCCTGATTCCTTCACTGATCTCATTGGTTTGTCTGTGCATCCCTGTGCTTGAGAATGAGTACGCTAAGTTCCAGGCTTATTCAAGTTTCTCAAACACTGCTGATGGACAGGCTGTTAATTGGACTGAATTCATCTTCTCTTGATGATGAATCAGCCCCAAGATTGCTTTCAGTCTGACAAGAATTTCAATGTGAGTTTACGTTGAATCCTTGTCTGACTACCCCCTTGTACTTCCTGTGAGTGCCATTCACTGTCTGATCACGTTCATGTTCGCACACTGAACTGCACTCACTGTTTGGGTGACCTGTGTTGAGAGAAAGTATGATCAGTGCAGATCCTACTTAATATTCTCACACACAGTCCGGATTGACTGCTCTCACAGGTAGAAGTCAGATATCCTCTGTACTTCTTGATGGTTGCATACTTGCATCTCTAGTGTTATGAACCTTACCTGGAGAGTTATCGACTCCTGTATCCACTGGGCTCTGTCCCAACATTGCCCCAAAATGTTTGATCAGAGTGGAACTCTGTCTGTGACTAAACTTTACTCAGATAGACCTACCCTACACATGATCCTCTGTCAGTTCAAGCGTTATTGTTGAATATGGTCAGGCTTAGCCCCATATACAGATCTTGTCAGATCCTACCCTATTCTTGGGAAGAATCTGCGTATCACACTTGCCAACACACAGATCAGCAGTTGAGGAGTCTAACTGATACCCAGTCCTGAGTCCTGACAGAAATTAATCAGATTTTCATAATTAATTCAATTATAATGGATTACATCAAAGTTGATTACTAGGCTAACACCCTTGCATTCAACTAGATGGTCCATGCTGTTAATCTAAACCCCGATCATCTGATTTTCAAGATGTTGTTAGCTATCTATAAGCTGATCAGTGATTACCAGTTTAATACCCTTGCATTCAGCTACCCAACACTCACTGATAATCTGAGCTACAACCTGTAGCTTTTCAGAAGCTGATTGGTTGCCTAAAAGTTGATTACCTGGCTAATACCCTCGCATTCAACTAATCAATCTAATCTGATAGTCTCACCATAACCCTCTGAGATTCTGAGGTCTTTGCGTTCTCCACCACTACGGACGTTTAGCGATCCTCTAGCTAACACCTCTCCACCAATACGGCTGGTAGTTGGTTATGTAGCTCATGGGTCCTCGCTCCCCGGGAGGGTAAGAATGCAATAAATCGCAGTTTCCCAGTGGGGCTGTACACTAAGTGTTTGGTTTTGTAGTCTGTTTTCTTGCTTTGAGCCTGTCGGGCCTCGACCCCGTGACCTGTAATTTGTATGTGTTTTGTTTGTTAGTTTCGAGTCCTATGGGACTTGATCCCTGCATCGGTCACTAGTAGTCTCTGTTTGGTAGTCCTAGGCCATTCGGCCTTTTTCTTCTGCCTTGTCATAGGTCTAGGCCCCCTTTTCCCCTGTTCCCATCTAGATACAGATAGGTCTTGGGTTGTTGCCTTGGAGAGGCCCTCGTAGGTCTAGCCGAGTGTAGAAGTAGCGGTCAGGAAAATTAGTTTGGGCCTTTTCACGTTTTGTTGGCTGGGGAAACTCTGCCCGTCCATTGCTGGAGCGCTGCTGCTCTATTTTGGGCGAGGTCATCTTCTTCCTCGAAGCCCAGCCATAGCTGGGGTTGGGAAACGAAGTTGAAGATAGCACTGCTGCTATTTCGCAGCTCTGCATGAGAGCTTCCACAGGACTGTGTTGTTGGTTTGGGTGCTGCCATCTTCCACTTCGCAGCCATATCTGCTGTTCCTCCTCTCGGGGAACTTTGTCTTCTTCGAAGTGCTGGATCAGTTGTCTCCTTCTTCATCAGGACTTCCAGCCCTGCACTTCCGTGCAGAGCTGGCGCTGTAATCATCGGGCTTGCTGGTTCAGATTGGCACGTTGTGACAGCTGTGGGGATACGCTGCTGCGGCAGCCATAGCCAGGGGTATGAGGTGACGAGGAGGAAGAAGAAGACTCCTGCATACTTCGTTGAACACTTGTTTCTGGTTGTTCGGGGTTGTTGTAAACGCGGTTGTGATTCTTGGAACAAGTACTCTGGATTGATTGGAGGAGGACGAGGGATTGCAGAATTGAAATTCGTTTTTCAATTCTCTGTGTGTTTTGAGCTTCCGCTGTGCATATTCTCTCTCCGGTTTTGTGTGGATTTGCCTCCTCCGAGTCTACTCTGTAATTGCATGTGTGTATTGGAACGTGTGAATTCATTGTGGATGGAAGTTTAATCGGGTACATAACAATAAAAACAACAAATCCGTGAGTAAATGATGAGCACTCACAACGAAGACTTCAAGATGGCACGGGAACAATGTTCCTATGAAATGAAGCAAAGAGGGGCTAAGAGGACCATAAGAACAGCAATGCCATATCCGACAAATCATCTGCAATGAATCCGTGAGCAAATGATGAGCACTCACAACGAAGACTTCAAGATGGCACGGGAACAATGTTCCTAATAAATGAAGCAATGCAGTCAAAAGATGTATCCCGGTGCTGCTTACCTGACGAGCAAGAATGTATGCCAGCTGCTTCTTCATTACCGGATCCTCGCAGTCACAAAATGTTGATTTCACATGCTGCACGCCCACAAGGGAGAAAAGCAAGCACAGGCAATGTGAGGTACATATAGCAGCGCATACAGCACCATTTACTTAATTCTATATACTGCACAGAAACGGACTTCAGTGTAGATTTGACGAGAAGGTGGATGAATGCTCTTCGCTCTTTCCTCCGTGCTCCGATGATGAACGCTCTTCGCTCTTTCCTCCGTGCTCCGATGTTCTTTCCACAACTACTAGTGAAGGAGAGAAAACCACGGACACTACGAAAAGGGAACATCCTACACCCTCACATAGCCCTGAACTCAGAGCGCATGGAGAAAAAAAGAAGATAGCAGGGACAGTAACCATTCCTTCCCTTTTTTTTCCTTTTTTTTTTAAGCCCCTTCTATTCTGGGGGGCATCAGTCTGGTTACTTATCACCGGCAAGCATGAGTTCAAGTGCACAAAGCATCTCCAGAAAAGGGGACAGCCTTACCCTTGCAGTCCTAGACGCCTGTCAAGGGGGTGGACTGCCACAAGCGGACCCTATTCCTTCCCTTTTTTCTCCTCTTCCTTTTCATTTTCTTATATTTTCAATCCTGTTGTTTCAGATCCAAGATCTATTGCATTCAACTTGTTGGATGGGAAGTAACCCCACAATCTGCCTGCTAGGAAAGCATGCTTGCGGTCTGTTGCGTATTGCAGTGTAGTGAAAAGAAACAGGAGCCAGCCAAACAAAGAGGAGGAACAGTATGTGGAAAAACTGAGCCCAACGACACAACACGGTACACAGCAACTAAGCCTATTCTATTTACCAGCCGAAAATCCAGTTCGGCACCCCCCTCTGCTTACACCATTGCGCTAGTAGAGCAACAGACCGAGAGAACAATAGAAAAACAACAAGCAAACGTTGTGGCAAAAAGACCAAAAACGAAGAAACCTAATTTACAGAAAAAAGGAGAAGAGGATTCAGATTGGGTAAGCAACCCGTTGACGGCTGATAACTCCACCAGAAATCCTGAAAAAAAGGCAGAGTCCAATGACTGCCAAAGAGATTCATGTCGGCCGCCCGCAAAGTCCAGCCTGTGGTTATTACTTTTTTTTTTTTTTTAAGAAAATTATGCGTGTCATCCTTGCACAGGGGCCAAGCTAAGCTTCTCTGCATCGTTCCAATTTTAACTGATGTCCTGAAGGACAGCCTGTGGTTATTACTTCTTTGAGGGATTTTCAGATTTGACTTCCGCTTGAATCATTGGAGTCAGGAGTTCTCCTTGCCTCACCGCTGCATTCCCAAGGTCCACAGGGCGGCTCCTTGAAAGGTCTCGCCTGCGTATGAAAAGTTACTATTCCGAGAAATCCTCCAAGATGGAACTCCAGAGACAACGAACTCGTTGGACCACCGAGAATTGGCATTTTGCTTTTTGCTTAGGAACAGTTGCTTGTCTCGACCGGTCCCAGAAGGGGCGCGACACTTCACAAAGCAAACAAAAGTGTTGCGAATCCTCCATATACATCCCCGGAATAATGGGGCACCCGGCAAAAGTCCTGGAAGTTAACCAAGTTGCGGTTGAAACCGCTTGATGCATAACCAGCCAAAGAATGCCACCTTCTTCCCCCGAATACAACACGGACGGTCATTATAGCTGTATATGGGGCATCTTTCAGGCTAAATACAGCTAAAACGACCATGTGTTACATAGAATGTTTGATCACAGCTAAGTCCATCAGCAGTTTCCGTGAACGACGTAATGCAGCTGTCAGTTAGAGAATCATAAATCGACCCCATTGCCTTCCGCCTTTCCGGTATTTTTTTATCTGTTCTTGTTTTATTCACTAGTTTTTTTCCCGTTTTCATTATTTGTTTTTGATTCATGGGGAGAAGTTTCATTATGGCCCTCGAAGTTTCATTACTGTACAGATTCTTTGCATGTGGCCATTGATCTTTGTAATCAACAGTCGGGTTGGAGGAAAAGAGCCCTGCAGGGGGAAAAGTATGTTGAATTTGATCCAGACTGCACTGGACATCTGTATTCCCAATCCCAGACCACAGACCTTCTGCCGCTCAGTACAGATGTTCAGATAGAGTGCAATCAGACTCGCTTTCTTTCCACTTCGCACACATGCAAACAGATGGAAATTCACACTGGCACAGGGCGCCCACTCAAAGCTTAGAGATATGGAAATCAAGAACACAGTTCGGATGCAAGTTCTCTTCAACAGGCTATGGCGCAGCAGCGCCTGAACATCCCAACCTTCGTCACTGTGTCCAACCCGACTGTTCACACACGCTCACTCTGGATCACCCTGAATACCACCACACACATACACACTGTCTAACTTCCTCCTACAGCGGCTATGGCCGCACTACCACTACTGACTATGGCTATGATCTCCCTTCAGCCCACTTCGTCTTCGGGCAACCTGCAGACCACCTTCGCACAAGACGCTGTAGCAGCGCTTCCGCATGGCTTACGCAGCGAATCAATGAATGGCTGGGTGCTGCCTCGTGATTTATACTTCTGTAGCTAATTGGTCTGCCCCTTTCCCAGGCCTAGACACTGACTGACTGGGACCGGTACCGCTGACTGCATGGGTTTGCACTGCCAACTCGATGCAGTCGCACTGCCGACGTAACGCAGTTGGGCTCACCACTTGCCCACTTGCCTCTGACTAAAACGTGAGACACTTCGAAAGGCCACTTCCGGACCTTCCAGAAGTCTGTGGACTTGGCCTTTCGGGTACTGTAGCAGCTACGACCTTGACCTTTCAGCACTGTAGCAGCTACGACCTTGACCTTTCAGAATACCTACAGCTACGACCTCTACAAAGCTGTAACTCCTACTCGACAGACCATCAGATCGAACCCCTACCACTACACAGACCTACGACAGGCGACAAACAACTACCAAAACACAGGTCACGGGTTCAAACACTCACAGGGTCAACTCGATACTGTACACGGGTAGGGTAAGGTCTGGGGATCGAACTCTGGGCCCACATCTGTGTCTGCAAAAGGTGAAAACTGTTTCAAGAGCGGCCGGGAAAAACAAAAACACAGTAAAAAAGATACTTACCTCTGCATTGCTCATTCGGAGAGCCACCCTCAGTGCATCCGGGTACATCTTCACTTTCCGATATATCTTGTATGCAATTTCCAGAACAATCTTGTCTTCTGGCTCGGGCACATAGCTTCATACAACAATCAGACCGAACGGACATCGATGTCAAATTGATCCACAACATGCCCACACAGAATAGATAGAACTCCCCTGCACCATTTCTTGCTCTCCAGAAATATCACAATGATAAGTGGAAACAGCATAACAAAGAAACACATACGTCGAAATGGTTCCTTGCAGAGTCTATTGCCCAGGCTGAAACCAGAGCAAGGCCCCTTTCGCATCTCTGACCATGGTAAATCTGACAGCAAAAAAAAGTTAAAAAAACTAAAGCTGAGCTTGATGAATGGATACTTCAGACAGATATTCATGCTGAGTAGGACGAATGAGGGACGTATATGCTCCAGAGTACATGCCCCAGATACCCATGTAGAGTATCTGGTTGTCTGTATAGAGGAATGGATAGAGAGATCAGATGAATGGTAAAAGAGAGATGGCTGAAACAGGTGAACAAATGGATAGATGGATGGACAAACACAGACGACTGACAGATGGAGGCCCAGAATACAGGGTTTTTCTTCCTTTTTTTTAATGAAACAGGTGCTTATGGTCCTGGCTCCTTGTCAACTGTGGGCGAGCATTAGCCCGGATCCTAACAGATTTCAAAAGAGTACATATCAGCAGTAAATTGAACGGACTGTTGAATTGATAGACGGTCACATACATAATTGTGTAGTACCTAGAGTAGTCGTGCCGAGTGCCCCTGGATTGGTCGGGGGCCAACCAGCCGACCGTTCCACTGCTCAGCACCTACTGGCCGGCGGTCAGTCGGCACCCCGCAAAAGACATATATATATCGTCACAGACAGAACTGCCCGGTAAACCGTAGGCAGAGAGAGAGAAGAGGACAACAAACGAGGGGCTGTGACGTATAGATATATATAGTCAAACGGAGAAGAGGACAACAAACGAGGAGCTGTGGCAAACTGTTTCGTCAGAGTTTCATATATATATTGTCACATAACTACAAACTAAAAGAGCGCACTTTGCGGAACAAAGAATAAAAGCAAAAAACGGGCACAGTGATAACATGCAAAAATAAAAATAAAAACAAAAACAAAAAGCAAGGGCAGATTGAAACCATTAAATTTCTCATTCTTCTTTGAACT